TTAAACCTTAATAAAAAATCGATACAGGGCTTTAGAATATCGATACAGTATCAGGAAATGAAATATCGCGATATTTCAGTGTATCTATATTTTCTTACACCACTACTGAAAAGTCAACTGTTTGTCAAATATATAACATTAGTTTTAAACAAACTAAAATGTCATTTTATTTAACATTTTCATCTTATCTCCATGCAAAAAAAAGGTTTAGCAAACAGATGTCAAATTTCAGTATTTAAAGCCACAAAAATGCAACACCGATTTTTCATTTCCTATTAAACAAAGAAAACGAAGGTGAGGTTTACAAATTAGCAGCTAAAAGATCAGCTGATCTCACCGGAGCTAAGCTGCCAACAGGTTCCTCCAGTTCAGCTTCCTGATCAGCTCTGTTGTCTCCACTCCTGTGGGTCAGCGGGCTTCCAGCAGCATTCAGGGCTGCAAGAGGGGCTTTCCCGTTAGCTGCTGTAGACTTCTCAGGTGTTAGCCCCTCCTCCTCCTCTTTAGTTGTCCCAGACAGCTGTGCAACAGTTCGCTTGGCGCTGGGTTCCTGAGGCTGCTGACCAGCTTTAGGAGCGCTGACGATGTTCGAGACGTCTCCGGCGCCGCTCTTTGTTCGCACAGAGTCCATCGTGGCCTTGTCACTCGGTTTGTTTTTAAGGCAGCGCTTGATGCCCCGCTCAGCTTTGCTGTTGATGCATCTTGATTCATTAAGTGTAGGTGACGAGGGAGGCTGCTCCGGTGACTCCAAGCTAACAGACTTCACATTATTCTGTGTCTCTGTTGGTGCCACCTCCTTCACTTTCTTATTTGACTGAAACACAGAATAAAAAAACTATTTAGTTTAGTTGTTTCAAAAGCCTAACTAACACAGCCTCCTAAATCAATAACTAAAAGAGAGGAAGCAACTAGAAAATGAAACTGGCTTTGTTTTAATTAAGTAAATGTCAACTGTGTGGCCTCCTTTTAAAAAAAATGCTGACTGTAGTGTAAAAATCCTGTTTGGTGTGAAACTCATACACATAATTATAACACATTATTTCCAAGTAATAATTAAACAAAAACACAGATGGATTTAGCGGACATGAAAATGAAAATCACCTCATCATCTAATGAAAATTACCTTAAGAGAAGGCCAAACATGAAAAGGGATTTTCTTGTGCAAAACCAGATGCAGGAATCCACCTTTTTCCTTGTACTGCACTTTGCTACACGAGGCCTCAATTTCCTCTTGTAACTGGCAGCTCCACTGGCGCCCATCTGGAGAAAAAAAACAACCAAAACAACTAACGTTATCATAGACAAATTGTAAAACTGCATTAAAACAAACATTTTGAAATGTTTGCACCTTTTCTGATATTATTCCAAATGTGTAAGTTCATCCATATTTCCACATTTGGACAAACTGTTCAGAACTGATGACAGCTTACCTGGGAAGGACACATTGCAGTGTGTGTCAGTGAACGTGGTGTCGACGTCTTCGATCCTCTGGACCCCCTCYCCACAGCGAAGTCTCACCGTCACTTCATTAACGTTCTGCTTCCAGTCCACAAACGCATCTGAAGAAAAAGACACAAAAGAAACAGAAAACTGAAGTAACGAACATAAAAGTAGAGCAGAAAACTAGAAATGTTTTTCTTTTGTCATGCCAACTGCTCATTAGTCAGAACCGCAAGTCCACTTAATAAAAGCAACTTCAGGCTTGTTTTTCTGTAAATGCACTTAAAAATCATGATAGTCACAGACTGTGTTTAAGCTTTTTAAGGTTGCTTATTACAGATTACTGCTGTGTGTCATGTCTCTGTTCACTAAACAAAACTGCTTTTCAACAGTTTAATACACCAACTTACAAATTTACATAAACACTTGAACTTTTGTGTTTCTGTGGGTAAATTCAGAACACTCTGATGTTCTAAAGCAGAGGTCTGTGGGAGGCAGCATCCTGCATGTTTTACTTGCTCCTCTGCCCCAACACACCTCATTTAGTGATTGAATTACCTCTTCAAGTTCTGCAGAAGCTTGTTAATTACCTATTCATTCACATCATATGTTGGAGCAGTGAAACCTCTGAAACATGCAGGATTAGTGGCCCTCAAGGACCAGGATTGGACAGGTTGCTTGTACCACACAGACAGATGTGAGAAGTAGGGGTGCAACGATACAGAAAATTTACGATTTCGTTCGGTTCAATACTTTAGTCTCACAGTTCGATATTTTTTCGATACAAAAAAAGAGAAATGCCCATGCCCTTTTAAACTTGTAATTTATTGAAATTAATTATGATCATATGTTTAACCTCAAAAGTACCGTTTTCAAATTAAATTTAAAATTAAATGTTGCTGAAACAGCAAGTTTCTCAGTGGATCTGTGCTCCACAATGCAGCCTAGGTGGAGAAGTCGAACACAGATCCACTGATCCTTCAACACAGAGCATCTTCAGAAGACAAGCTGATAAAATAAATTTAAAAAATTTGTATTGTTCCATACAAGTGTGTATTGAACGGTTCGATACGTGTACATTTACTGTTGCACCCCTAGTAAGAATTTCAAACAAATTACTTTCAAAAACATGCTAATATAAAAGTTTTAATGTGGGATCAAAAGCACAAAAAAAATAACATTTTTTTATTAAAACCAACATGTAGCAGCAATAAAACCTAATTTAAAAAGAAAAAAATGTTTAATTGCACAGCAAATATCGGATTGTCTGTCAGCAAAGAGGTCATCTGGTGATTCCACAATCCTTAATGACAACCGAAGAGTTACAACTTTCCCACACCTTCAGTCTTTCACGCTCTCGCTTTGACTTAATCACCCACAAAAGGTCAGCCGCAACACCCAATCTCTTCCAGCTGGTTGGGGTCATATTCCCTGTAGAGCCACACCGGAGTACAATCTCACGGTTAGGTAAAGCATTAAAATGACTTTCATGACCGAGAAACGATCACAAAACACCAACTTCTTTAGATTTGCATAACTTCTATCAAATAGCGAATATACTTTAAAGATATTTAAAGATATAACTAACTGAATATTACAACATAAAATACTGACAAGTAATAAATATTCATTAGTTTTCACAAAAAAGAACTGCTTTTACCAAACCAAGGCATCTTATTTTAGTCATCAGTACAACAACTGATCCAATAATCTGTCTCTGTAGGTTTTAAACTGAACGCTGAGGTACAAAAACCAAATAGGCTGCGTGATAAAGTCCCATAAATATGGTTATTGCTGGTTGTAAGTCCAGATTGGGTTGATACAATGTGAGGCATTCTAACATCAAATGCTGAGGCCTAGATGTCACAGGATAGCAACTTAAGTCTGATGTTTGGTTTTATCCAGCTGATGATGTGAGCAAAGCATGAATCTGAAAATAGAAACAATGCAGACACAATGCTGAATTTGCATATTCGATCAATAATATCTACAAAACTCTCCCGTCACAGAGAGGGCCAACATGCTACATACAAATAATATAAAATCGGAATATTTAAACATACAAAAAGAAACCATCTGCTTTTTGAGGACTGGAAATTCAGCATAGGAAAGCAAAATCTCTCAAAAGCAGAACTGATTTATCTGCTATATTGTTGAGTTATTCATTTTTCTGTTTAGAACACAATTATTAACTGCACATTACTTTTTTTTAACAAAAGTCTTACCTTTCTTGACCTCGGCAAGGACCCCATCCACTACTGCACTGGCTGCAGCCCCCGCTCTCTTGGCCTCTCTGCTCTCCTGGTTGTACCTGTCCTTTTGTTTCTTTTTGCTGGAACTGGAGGTCAGCTCTGAGCTGTTTTCTCTGCCACCGCCGCCTCTCTGCTGAGCCCCGCCGCGCCGGCCCACCGTCTCACTACCACCGGCCACGCCACCGCCTCCGCCGCTGGCCATCTTCAGGCACTTGGCACTGACAGGCTGCCCGTCACCGGAATCGCTACCGCTGCTGGGGTCTGGATCTGAGGTGTGCCTCTTCCTGCCTGGCCCGGCTATTTTGGCGATGATACTGGTCTGAACTCTCCCAGAACAGAATCAGGACGCTTAACAAGGGAGGGGGGGACCTACAGCAAAAAACAAAGTAACTGATATTTAATAAGCGTTTAACAAGGGAATTGTGCCAATCTGACTAACAGACATACATATTATGACGTTTAAGTTACAAAAAATAGTAAATTAAAGTTGGAGTAAACTAGAGGCTACAGAACACACATTCAACAAACTAGAGGGTGATTTTAWGACATTTAGACAAAAGTTTCAAACTGCTGTGACAAAATAAATCCGCTTAACTTGGTTTCTTTAGCATAGAAACAGCAGATGGCTAGTTAAGCTTTTCTATTGGCTGTTCAGAACATAATTAATTAATCAACCAATGATGCTCACTTGGCTAAAACAGCATTCTTCTTGTCAAGAGTTGTTTAGCCGGATGGAGAGGGTCGTTAGTTAAATGGCACAGTCAGTCAGTCTTTAATCCTATAATGTGCCCGTAAATACTATTTAACCAACACACAAAACTATCTCATCCTCTTAGTATTACTAGCAAGTAGCCTTTAGCTGATAGTACAGCACTGCGGACTGATAGGTAGCTCTACACTCGCCGGGGGGGAAATCCATTGAAATCAACCCGCAAAAAAAAGCTTTTTTACTGACTTGAGTTGAGTTGAGGACTCCGGTTATTACCACATGTCAATAAGCAATTATTGTTTACAGTTAAGACTGCTAAACCGGATCTGCAGCATCACAGAGCGCAGGACAGGTCGCTGAATCGTGCTACACGGCAGCCGCTTATGGCTAATGTCATTAGCATCATGCTAACGGCAGCGAAAACGAAACGGGCTAGCCGATCTAATAAGCACAATATGACATTCCGTAACACGTAGCCAATTTATACTATTAAAATGTCGTACTTATTCTCGCATCAGAACAGGACACTTACGCGGCTCGAATGCGACGATAATTCCGTCTGAACACACAATAGTGGGCGAGTTTTTGTGACTCTTCGCCCGGCTGCTGCTGCTCCTTCTCGGCCTCGAGCCGCTGCGCTCTTTCCTTCCGTCTTCTGCTCGGACTCGAAACGCCCGTAGTCCACGGTGTTTCTGGAAATTTCTAGATTCAACCAGGACCCATTTCTGTTAATCTAACAAAATACGTCCAAAAATGAAGCAGAATGCATTAAGTTAAAACCGATTTAGTCTTTTTGTGTCATTCGGCCTCTGCGGGGTGAGCTACTTTGTTGGAAACAAAATATACAACTGCCCGGCCAGACCTGAACTGAGACTGAGCTACTTCCGGTAAGAGCCGTCACGTGATCTGAAACTCTCTTTCTTTCTTTCTTTCTTTCTTTCTTTCTTTCTTTCTTTCTTTCTCAAATAAGATAAGAGATCAATTCCACTTTGATTCATGCAAAACTTTTATTCCCCATGTTATTTTTGCATGTTACATGTTGCATGAAAGTATCACAAATCTCCTCCTATTTCCCCTCATCATCAGTCATGTAATCTTATAAAAAAAAACCTAATGAGACTGAACACAGAAAAACAACAACTTACTAATGTAACAGATTCCTTTTGGTGTTTTACTTTGGCAATCATCTTGCAGGTTCCCCAGTTAAAATGTTAAATATATTTATATATTTGATTTATTGTGTTTTTATTAAACACAAAATATCATGCAYGGTATAAATGTGTCAACAATACTGACAGGCACAAATAAACAAGGCAGGAGTTACTGATGTTCCATCACAGCATGTGGGAAACAAGAAATCATAGTCTATACAGGAAATTTGGTGTTTATAGTCATTACTCTATAGCTATCATTTTGTTTCCTGTTTGTTATTATTCTAAATTGAATGTCTTCTGCTTTAAAAAAAAAAAACATAGAGCAACCTCTGATCCTTTCAAGCACACAGGGCGGGAAATTAAAGCTGCAACAAAAAAATAGTCTAGTTTTCTGGGCTTTTGACCTGGAGGTTGTAAATTGCTCATTTTCAACTAAAACAACCATCTGACACATTGTAAAGATTTCATTTTTATACTGAATTTGTCTTGTTTTTATTGAACCTAACATATTTAAACTGCATTTGCATACTATTGGTCACATTTTGTTTTTAATGTTTTTATATAAATGACTATAACTCTCTAAGTCGAGTGATGCTTAATGGCTAAAGCTGTCATATTCATATCTGGATTCATGTGTTATGGTGGGTGCAACCTCGCTCTGTATTTTGGATTGTTTGCAATTAGATTACACAAAAACAATAAAAGCTGCAATGTTTTCTGCTGGAAGAAGACTGTGACAAGCTCAACAAAGTATATGCCTCCAAAGTCATAACAGTTATTATAAAATCATTTATAGCAACCTGCTGAGTCACCATACATTAAAAAGCAATAAGGCTCTCAGCTCCAAATAAGGCATCATCTGGTGTCCTTGCAGTGTAAGCACATGTAATACAACCACAGTGACAAGAACAAATATAT